GTAGAAGAATGAATGGAGCCTAGCGTCTGCTGTCAGTATCACAATTTCTCCGAAACTACAACTATTTCGATCCGAGTTGAAGGAACATGTAGTTGATCAGCTACCAGTCGATGAGCGACTATGGGTAACACTACGAACAAACAATGAATAAGGAACAGAAACATTCCCCAAAGTATAATCCAAATAAACGCCACTAGGATGAAAAATCAAATTGGTAGAGGAAATTGAAGTTGTAAGCAGAAGAAAGCTGCTGTCAACCGCTGCTGCTCAAAAGCATTGAAGTTATCCTTTTTGAGCTCACCTACTCAATAGGGACTCAAAAAGGGGGTCCGAGAACTTCTCCCCTAACACGGCGTCGCACACGCCGCACCCGCCGCCTATCGCAGGATTGCGATGGAAGATTGGAGCGCGCAATTTTTGGGGTAGGGAGTCCTTTAATTATCTGAATTGGCTGACCGCTTTCTTCAATTTCAATGCAGTCTTAATCGCCGCTTACATAGGAGGAGTCATTTTAATTAATCAAGTCTAATAAACATGGAAACTAAAAAGAAACAGAAGAAAAAACGATAAAATCCATTGAAAAAGCAAGTCAGTCAAGGAAAAATATCGCGTGCTATCGATTGGCGGGAGGCGGGGTGAGCATGGCAGTGGCATTTGCCGCATGCCGCAAGGGAGAATGCCGCGATAGGGGAGAAGTTCCGTTACCCCTCAAAAAAGTATACTAATAAGGAAGGTTACTTTGTTGCAGTGGTCATCTAAGATGAGATATGAACCGTATTAGGTGGTTTCAAACGTGGTTCTCAAATCTGTGTTCCAAATCTACTAAACGATTCTGGAAGCAGAGTTACGAGAACGATTTCTCCCTTTGTCATACCGCTGTACCGAATAGATCAAAGAACTGACCAAAGGTGTAATATGTGCAACGCTGGCTCAGCTGGTAGGGCGAAGGGCTGGTCGGCATGACGGCAAGTTTGGTTAAAATGCATGCGATCGTTTTGCTTTTCCATTGAATGCGTCCTAAGCGCTTGTAAAACGTTTTTGGGTCAACGTTGGGCATCCACAGGGCTCTACCACAATAATTTTTTTAACCACCACTGACCGAATACACATGTACGCCTCCTTCCCCAGAACAGTCACGATGGTGTTTCGGAATTTTCGGCCTTGTTACATATTCAACTAATTTATTGAGAAGTTAAGGAAAAATGCAGATAATCTACTGTTTTTTATAAAGACAAACAGCAGATACGTAATCATCCTTCGTATTTCTTGTGTTCATATAGCCGTTGCATCCATACAGCGTCCCTGGGGGAAGTTGTTCGAGCTGAACACAGTTTTTCAGGTTGTAGAACCCTATCACGGCTCGCCACATTTTTGGAATCTTTTCGGCAAAGATGGGAATATTCTTTGCCTTTTGCTTGCTCACTGTGCAGCATTGGAATTTACTGGCGATTCGTAAGCCTGTATGTCTCTAACTCACTTCTGCTTCTGCTTCATCAAACTGGATTTCTAAGACGTCGAGTATTTTTTGCCATACTGCTTTGTTATTCGCATTGGCAATTAAACTGAAAGATTGTTAAAAAGTTAACAAAGAAAAAAGTTGTGATCAAGCAAACACAAACCTTCTTCCTCCAACAATCAAATCAACATCCATGCTTTCCCGGTTGTCCGGAGACTTTAGCCAGTCCAATGCCTTTTGCGCCCACTCATCACTCCAAACCTGTGTTTGTACATTATACATTACTTGAAGCAGTGAATTGAGATTGTTGAGGAACTAACCAGATCATTGGTGTACATACTGTTGATTGTCTCAAACGTTTCTTTGTGGTTTAGTGGGGTTTCCGAGCCTGAAGAGAATGTTTTCGGGTCATGCCAATACCGCTTCACGGATATGGTGATGGTTCGGGTCTTTGTGAAGCCACTCTTCATTTGAAGTACTTACCCTCAGCAGAGGAAATCGGTACAAGGATAGCCAATAAAGGGAACAGAACGAACATTTGGATGTGATACACTTTCCTGGAAATTTCTCCTTTTATGGGTTGTTATGATGTATATCGTTTGCACCTGTTCCTAAGTACAAACATAATTCTTTGCTGAAGCCGAAAAATAATTTGCAAGAGTTTTGTCAACACTATCGCTCATAACCTGTTTTTCAACAGATTCGGGTTGCTTACTTCTGCAGTCAAAGTTGAATAAGAACGGGGTTCGAGTTAGCAGCTTCGGAGCTAAAGGAAAAGAAATTGCCTGCTGGATTGGGGAAAATTGAAGCGTAGCAAAGNTTGATGAAGCAGAAGCAGAAGTGAGTTAGAGACATACAGGCTTACGAATCGCCAGTAAATTCCAATGCTGCACAGTGAGCAAGCAAAAGGCAAAGAATATTCCCATCTTTGCCGAAAAGATTCCAAAAATGTGGCGAGCCGTGATAGGGTTCTACAACCTGAAAAACTGTGTTCAGCTCGAACAACTTCCCCCAGGGACGCTGTATGGATGCAACGGCTATATGAACACAAGAAATACGAAGGATGATTACGTATCTGCTGTTTGTCTTTATAAAAAACAGTAGATTATCTGCATTTTTCCTTAACTTCTCAATAAATTAGTTGGATATGTAACAAGGCAAAGTTAAATTCATGTAATATCAATTGCGTGAAACAGTACAAAGTTGTATAATAACTGATGGCGTATTGCTTATATACCTCTGGCCAGTACTTTTACAATGCGGTTCAACAGCATAATGCTGCAAAACTCATCAGATTTAGTGGATACAAAGTTTCTATCCTTCGAACAAGAATACCACCGATTTGCCAGCAATGGAAAAAATTGCAGAACATTCCCTGATCCTGAGTTGACCTCCGAGGCCCCGATCTTTTAGAATGTTTAGGCGGCAACACTACGTACATCCTGGTTGGAGAGATGCACAACTGAGCAACCGATCAGTACGGGATCTCAACAATTGGCATCGCTCACCTTTTTTCGCCATCGTTATTCACCGGAGTTAATTACACCACACCCCAGTTCGTCGATCACACCATTCAGGTCCCGCTTGCCGTTCTGTGGATATGCTAAAACAAATGATTACTTGCGGAATGAACATTGCTCGTCTTAACTTTTCGCATGGAAGTTATGAGGTATTGTTTTTTCATAGGCAAAAGTGAAGGCGAACAAACTAATACGTTCCGAATAGAGTTGATGGAAGAAAAACCAGACAACAAAAGTTCCTATATGCTTCCCAGAAATGAAGCGCAGTGCAGTATTTTGTACAAGTCGGATCGCCCGGCTACCACCGGGTATCCCTCCTTCTTATGAAAGAATTACGATAATTGGCGAACGGCCCGCTCCTCCTTTGTACAAATGATACTTTACGGAACACGAAACTTCACAAAGGACTGACAGGGCATGCAACTGATATTCCGTCAGTCCGATGCTTATGCTTATAATTAGAAGCTTCAATCTATTGCTGTTCATCTTGGAAATAATGACCCATTGAAGTTTCAAATGTGTCGAGCTAAATATTTTTGCTCACGCCACGCTGCTTTTGGGCAGAGTCTAGTCCAGTTACCTACCATCAGTGTTTCCATCTTGCCTGCTGTACTCTTACCAAATGTTAGCCCTCTAGGCCTAATCTGTCATTTTTGCACGAATCCCGCCCCCTGCGTTCGGAGTCCGGTCCTGCCACCCACCATAAGTGTTGTCATCTTGCCGCTTGTATTCCTACCAAATTTGAACTTTCTATGTCTACTGGAAACGAGTTATGAATTTCCGATCAAACACACACATACACACATACACAGACGCACCCGCACACATACACACAGACAAACCAAAAGACGCACTTAGCACGTTCTATACAGGGTGCGCCATAAATGTGGTAACGAAATAATTTGGCTGCAGAAACAGCACTTCATATTGATACATAGTGAACTTATGTGAACTATTTACTATACATCGCATCTACGGAACGAACACAAGGTGATACTATATAACTGTCTTCTGTATAATTATAGCTCGGAAACGTTTCGACTATCATCGACGGTGGCACGCAGTGTTTCTTGAGAAACTCTTGCCTAGACTTTTTCCAGTGATTTCTTAGGAGCAGCAACAATAGTGCAATTCGAAGCGTAGGCTTCCCTCTCTATTATGAACTATATCCAGCTACCCATCACCTTGTGGTCAGGGAAATTCGTAGAAGGATTGGAAGGATGGATGTGTCCGCGAACATTTCTTCAGCACCGGTCTCGATCTGTTCCCATTCATGAGCAAGTGCGCCTTAGTTTTCAAATTGGATCTCTAGAAAAACCTTTGACATTCAGCTGCACCTTTCAGAAAATCCCTTCTAAAGAGGTTCGAAATTATTTTTGCACTTTTTTCCGACCAAAATTCGCGATATCGCTCGATGGTTGCGATTCTTGCCCAAACTATCATGAAAAAGGGAAAAGGCTCTGAGAGGCGATCACTCATTTCAACGGCTTCAGCACTCGTAGTGTGAAATATGCGTATACTCTGGGATCTCAACATTTCTTCCACGCTGAACACCCTTTGTCAGAAAAAAGTGTGTCGAAGCGCAGGCTGCGCTAAGTAGCGCACGGCACTTGTTTTGCCTCTTCGACTTTTTCCCGTCCAAAAGCTTATAAGGCTTTCGTATCTTATTTGGATCCAGTTGCATTTACTCTGAGTAACTCTTCCTATCAGATTAGAACATACAAACAAATCAGCAGTAATTTTTCTGGTGTTTCTGCAGTTTCCGCAGCGTGCTCCTTCACAAGCAATTGGATTCGGAAAAGGGACCTTATGCGAGACAACTTGAAACGAGGAACGAACCCTCGAAAGGGCTCACCAAATGCGCGCAAAGACGGAACGATTGGTAAATGTCTGAGAGGCTCCACTTTTCCTCGAAATCTAACGAATTGAGAGTACCAAAGTAGATATGTAGGCGAAGGTATATTATAAAGATAAGGGGAGGTGCAGCTTTGGAAAAATCCCTCCAAACGAGAAAATTACGGACTTCCGAGAAGTGTTACCATACTTATGGCGTACACTGTGTAGTAGTAGGATGATGTGCGTCGTCATTCTTGAGGCGGCGACTGTGAAGCAGGACCGTTGCCTGATGGCTGGTGCATCATAATCTTTGCTTCTTAGTTTACTCAGCCGTAGCAAAGGTTCTAAGCATTTAATCCGCGCTTAAAGACAAAGGCAAAGAATTTCCCACTACCTAAATCGCAAGAGCGTGAATATGGGGTTTTGTTTGAACAGCAACCCTTTAATCTCATAAAAGTTATTACTGCATTACTTTGTTTCTCTTCGCAGATGCCATAAAAAAGCGAGCGCACTTTCATATTTGGACATGATGGTGCAGGAGGATCATTTCAGTACCACGGGGGTACGATCAAAAATGTACGTCAAGCAGTCGAGCAACTCGGTGGCTCGCTTCAAATTGGCATCGCGCTTGATACCAAAGGACCAGAAATCCGAACTGGCCTATTGAGTGGTGGAGCGACTGCTGAGGTTAGTTACTTTACTTTTTTGGGTTTTCATTTTGAGAACCAATCAACTGCGCTGGTAAATATTATTGTGTATTCTCTGAAAACAAAAAAGTACGCTTCAACTCACAAATGTGACGTTGATAGTGCATGAAATGATGGGTGCAAGCACAGGCCAGCAGAAAATAGATTCGTTTTGGGAAGTCGAGTGCCATAGTTGACTCAGGTGTATTGTTTACGCGGTATCGGACTGCACAACACTAGCCCGGTACTTTCTCACTTGCTCGCCAAACCCAATAATGGCCAAATCCTGTAAGCGTACTTTATACATAATTCCTTACTAGTTCGAACCCTCCCACTCCTGTGCTAAAGCCTGCCAGAGCTTGTAAGGGAAATTTGCCCTGGAAGCCCGCGTCTAAACGATTCCGTGCATGCCTTGTTCAAACACCTTAATGGAACAAGAATGTTTAAGATGAGGCTCGATCGACAACCGATTGATGATAGCCGTTCTAGGTCGAGCTCGTCAAAGGAAAGTCAATTACTCTCACAACAGATGACAAATATAAGGAAGCTTGTACAGCGGACAACCTCTATTTGGACTACAAAAACATTGTTAAGGTAGCTGTTTTTCACCATCAAACATTCCGTGGTAACAGTTGGCCCTGTCCCCAGGACTGAGAAGCACTTCAAGTTAAGAGCCCTATGACAGGCTGTCTTCGGTTTTTTGCGCTGAGTGTTGGAGTGAACTGTGATGTTCGAGTCTCTGTAGTGTAGCATGAAGTATAGAAGGGAATTCGTGAGAGGGGAACTGGTTCAGTTCCTAATAAGTTAAGAAGTTGTAGGAGAAGCTGCTCACTAAACATGGTCTCTGCTTAATTTATCGTGGGCATTTCAATGGTATCCGAGTGTTTCTGAATGAGTTCTCTGAAAAAGTGGTCAGCGACCCGGAGAGTTCATTGGAAAAGAGAGAAGTTCTCCCCGATAATACCTTGGCAAAATTATTTCGCAGGTTGAGAAGAACTCGCTGAGAAGGTTGGGTGGTTTTAGAAGAGAGAAACCAAATAGTTCAGAAACGTCCTTTACAAAACAAGGGAGTCATTGTTAAAGGGAGCGCTTCCTGTTGTGAAGAGCGTAGAGTTATAGATTCTCGCTACCTTACTGGGGGACAGCAGCTTCCATCCCTAGGCACAGCGCCGAAGCAAGCATAACACCTTCACTGGTATCAGAACTGCCATTAAAGAAAACGTATGATCGTGGAGAAACGGTCATTTCAGCAGGTTGCTGTCTGGTTTGACGCTTCATGCGCCGCTCTATAAACGAAAACTAAAGGAGGGCGAAACCATTTCCTTACTAGTCGAGGACGTTTTAATAACTAGTGGTGTGCTTCTCTACTAGAAACTGCACTGATGTTTTAGCAGAGTGGTTAGGAGTGGTGGCCGCTTGCTACCTGCAGTCGTAAGCATGTTCAAAGCTCTGCAGTACAGATGAAAAATAGAGTCTAACGATGCGCAAAATAAGGCGCAGTAGACACCAAAATGATGTGAAATAACGCGGTCGTTGCGGAGTGGTGCTCCCCTGCCCTTTTCCTAGACTACATTTTCGCGCTGAACAAGATTAGGTATCGAGACGTGGCTACGAGCATAGACCTCAAAGGGGGTCTGGTAGCAGTGGAAAGATATTTAGAGTCGCCGCGGATCCACTGGCGCAGGTCGTGGGAAGAAAGGAGAGAGAGAGAGAGAGAGAGAGAGAGAGAGAGAGAGAGAGAGAGAGAGAGAAGGAAGTTCTGTCACCCTTCGGAAGTAAGGTAGTGGGCAATATAAAGATGACCGCAAGCCCTGTTCTATAATTTGGAGAACGTGAGCTCTGGCCAAGACATCATAATGATATCGGGTGCATTTCGGTTTATGATTACATCACCCGGTGATCTCAATAAAGGAGCTGCAGTGAAGGATCAGGCCAAAGAAGGTTGAAGGAGTGCATAGGAATAGGACCCGAATCGCCTGGGTACAACCCCAGTCTAGAAGTCTATAACACCACCCTTCCAAGAAAAAGGTTTTCAAGATGGTCGTGTTGTTGTTGCTTCTACTAAGTTCTTCTCTACCCTGTCCCTCTCTTCTTTTTGAGCGGCCACGGGCGGAAAGGTGGAGACACGTTTCGAGGATGGACCCTACAAAAGGCTTGGTTTTTGCATCCCCAAGAAGGTGAAGTAAATTGTTTGGGAGGCAACTTTTTCACTAGCTTATCATCTGGTGCGCCTCTTAATCGGTACAACTCGTCCTTCTGTTCTGAATTAAAGAAAGCCAATNGTTGTTGCTTCTACTAAGTTCTTCTCTACCCTGTCCCTCTCTTCTATTTGAGCGGCCACGGGCGGAAAGGTGGAGACACGTTTCAAGGATGGACCCTACAAAAGGCTTGGTTTTTGCATCCCCAAGAAGGTGAAGTGTGTCAAATTGTTTGGGAGGCAACTTTTTCACTAGCTGATCATCTGGTGCGCCTCTTAATCGGTACAACTCGTCCTTCTGTTCTGAATTAAAGAAAGCCAATCATATGAAGGCTGTTGTATGCTGTACACGTTTTCCCTAAATCAGAATCTCTTGCAGCACTGAGCAGTACTCAACGCACGGTACGTTCCCACACTGTTTGAGCGGCAGAGATAATCTTTGATTTACTATAAGGTCGTGAGCAAAGGATCTCGAGTGTATGTCGACGATGGTCTCATCTCGCTTGCTGTCAACGAAGTAAAGGATAATTCAGTCGTCTGCACTATCGAAAATGGGGGAATGCTGGGTAGGTGTCTAGCGATTGGCTTCACAAATGAAATAGAAACACTAACTCATGTTATTCATCCAATTTCAGGTAGTAAGAAAGGAGTTAACCTTCCTGGCTCTAATGTCGATCTACCTGCTGTTTCTGAAAAAGATATTCAAGTATTTATGCTTTCTTGTCAATTCAATACTCAATGTTTTTCAAGAACGTACACTCATCGAAGTTGGTAGATTTCATTCATGTTTTCGTTCTAGGACCTCAAGTTTGGAGTGGAGCAAGGAGTAGACATGATTTTTGCTTCGTTCATACGAGACGCAGAAGGAATTCGAGCAATACGGAAGGTGCACATGGTCACTTCTGATTCTGTCGAAACTGGTTGTAAAGGAATGTTCAGGTCCTCGGTGACAAGGGGAAAAACATCAAAATCATCGCTAAAATTGAAAACCAGCAAGGTATGGAAAACGCGGATGATATTATCGCAGAAGCGGATGGTGTGATGGTAGCAAGAGGCGACCTCGGAATTGAAATCCCCACCGAAAAAGTGTTCATAGCTCAGAAGGTAATCACCTTGTTTTCATTACTGGTTCGCAAAGCGGTTGTTGTGCGGGGACGGATCAGTGGTTGTTGGAGCTGGAAGAGTTGCTTTCGGACCTGAAAAAGCTCTCAGAGAGGAGCACACTTTCTCCAAAGTTACTGCCGATGATTTCAACGCCAATCATGGCCCAAGATGCGCGGCACCGGAGCTCACGAAACGGAATGGAATGGAATAAGCGCTGTCAAAGGCTTTTCAAGTTCATTATGTTGATCCATTGGAGCTCCAGAAACCCTCTTATCTGCGATGGGGAAGCAGACCACATCATCTTCAATCGGAAATTTGCCTTACGGATTTCGCTGTTGTTCCGAAGTTCTACACGGAATCGGACCCTTGCCTGTTCCGCGCTAGATTCCCTTTTTCAGTGCGTAGAGATAGAGCTCCAGGATGCGAAGCCCCGAAACTGCCATTGCGAGGTTCCGGGAAGTTACTTTATCAACAATATCGATGAGGAGTATAAGGTTCGTCACAAAATCACAACAGTGCTAGGAAAGCAAAGGGTCTACAAGTGGCCAGGAAACGTCCTTTCTCGAAGGATTTCGCGCTTATACGTCAGGATAGAATGGCGCGAGTTCAGCAGTTGCAAGCAGAGATTTGAACTTGGGAAGCTATGCACCTATCGGGATCGTTCGCCATCATCAGGATTCCAATATGTGTATTGGAATTGCTTGACCCAGACGGTGCACCATAAACCAACATCTGTACACGTTGCATTTTACGACGTGAGAGTTTACATATCCTTAGTGGCTGAGAGAGTTCAATTTTGGCATGCCAACAGTTCATGATCAATTATTGTTGCTCCTTGCTGATTTATTCAGAATAGCTCTGAGAGTAATCTGGAGAGAATCCTAGTGTTGGATACGCGCCTACATACAATAACTGGCTCAGACTCCTCGCTAGAGTAGCAATGCAATCCCCTACAATCCCTAAGGAACAGTAGTCCGTGTACCCCACTCTTTCAGCCTTGTGCCATCCGTTGGATTGGAAAAAGTAGAATGACCAAGCTAATTCCTTTCTTACCTGCAAAATTATTTCGTTTTTAGCAAGCCCGACTATATAGTTGCCATTTGAAAGTGGAAGTTTTTGTAGTTCGAAGGCGGAACCTTTTGTCTCAACATTATCTTGTAGATGCTGCTTGCGAGGTGTAATCGTGCCGGGAAGCCATGCGTTTGTGCAACTCAAATGCTCGAATCAATGACAAAAAAGCCACGTCCAACTCGGGCCGAAGGAAGCGACGTCGCAAATGCCGTATGTATAATAGTTTGGGTTGTTTCTCGTTTTTCATAGAGACGTTTCATTTGAAAAGCCAACTGCCGCACTCTGATAGACCTGAAACTGTTCATAAGGAGTAAACCTACAGCTGAGTTACTTATAAGAGTGTTTTTTTGAGGTTCTTGACGGAGCAGACTGTGTTATGTTATCGGGAGAAACCGCAAAAGGAGACTATCCTCTGGAAGCAGTAAAAACTATGCATTTCATATGCAGGGTTAGTATTCTTTCTGTTGATTTGTATTCTTACCAGTTGGGCTACGCACGCCAATGCGTGCACCACATGCCCACACTTACGCCTACGATTAAAAGTGTCAATCGGTTGCTCTTGATCTTGAAAACTATGAATCATTAAAGGTTTAACTGGTAGGCAACCAATGAATTGAGTAGTACTCACTAATGTTCTCAAGTGATAATAACACTATTATAAGATTTCGTTATCACTGAACCTTCTTTCCTCCACGGGTACATCATTAGTTGAGAATCCCAAATTATTGGCAGTCGGATGAGCTTTGTCGTAAATGATATCAAAGTATCAAGTAACCTTGATTTTCCACCGAGTTACAAACCTTGCTGGGTAGCGGTCGTGATCTATATAATAGTCGTAATCATAAATACATCGTAAATACCATAGGAGTTAAATTCAATTGGTAAGTGCTCTTATCATAATCATAAATACATCGCAAATACCACAGGAGTTAAATTCAATTGGTAAGTGCCCTTATCAGTCGCTATCAGCTGTTATCGGTTCCTATCGATCGTCTACGATCTCGCCATACTCCACGTCGCACGCCAAACTGTCAAGGCACCACTATTAATGCCGTTATTATGGTGGCTCTACGCTTCCGAGGGTTTTCATTAGCCCTTATCAGCTCCTGGCCTGGCACCAATCGTCACCGAGTACCTACGAACCTGTCACATCTTACTTAACCTATTAAAATTCCAAGTTTCCATTATTGACAGAAAGTGCGTTACCGATCTAGTGGCTCTCGCTTTCTATGGTTTCTTATAAGTCCCTATCAGTTGTTATCAATCCCTGCCGCCAAACATTCGCGGTCCCTTCACATCCCATACCACCTATCAAGGTGCCAAGGCTTCATCGCTAATACGAAGGTAGTTAGCGATCCTGAGGCTTTTGCCTTCTAAGGTTCTTTATTCATTTCTAACGATAGTCGTCACTTCCTATCATCTGCCATCAGTGTTCCCATCCTGCCCCCTATCTCTCTTTCAAATTTGAATGCCCTAGGTCCAGTGGGACAGGAGTTATGAATTTCCGGTCAGACAAACACACAAAAACACACCAACGGACACACTTAGCCGATTCTATAAGTAGGATATTACTTCTCCCCCAAGCTTACGTGTTATTTCACGTGAATCCTTATCGTGCCTACGTGGCGGACGCACAAACGGGCATACAAACAGACACACAAAGTTAGCGGTTTATATATATCATCATGAAAATTTGATGATCGTCTTCACGTCCACAGGATGCGGAGGCTTCAACTTTTCACAAGGCTTACATGTCCGACATTCTCAAAGAGACAGTCCGACCACTGGATGCAAGCAAGGGCATATCTCTGGCTGCCGTCATTGCAGCAATCAACTGTCATGCAGCTGCCATCGTTCTCGTCACTTCTACTGGAAAGTGAGTAATGGCTACATTAAAGTTGTTTGAGCGAGACCCTTCCAATTCAGCTGGCGCTTTCGTTTTTAAACCCGTTTTCGGAAAACAAACCAAGAGACTGGTGAGGGATCTGATCCTGACGATATTAGGCTCCAAGGTGAACGTACCGATGGCATATTGGGTCATCGTATCCCTCCTTCACGTCCTAAACCAGCTATCTATCTTCTAGGTCTTCGGTTCTATCTTCAGTCTTTTACTTGCCTCACAAATTTGTTTGTATGGCGGAGTCTTTCTATGACCACGATTCCTCTCCCTTTGTCCTGATGTGTGAACTGGTTCGTATAATGTGAATGATGTCACTGCTGTTTTAGAACCGCATGTGCCTGCTCCCGTTATAAAACTCCATTTCCTATTGTGGCAGTCTGCCGCACCGCCGATATCTGCCGTCAACTGAATCTCTGCAGGTTTGCGCCGGTTTGAATGCGCAGTTTATGATGAACTTGTGGCACTTATCGTTAGTGATGGAAATAGTGATGGAAGTGGTGGTCAGAATAGTGGAACGTGACGAAAAAAAAATCCAAAAAAAGAGAAATCCAAAAAAAAAGAAAAAGTTCAGAAGTACAGTGCATTAAACAATAGTGAAAACATTGGTTTTACGGGTCCATGCACGAAATTTTTCTCATTTTGAGCATACTGTAACTACTACGCGCGATTTCCTGAAGAAGTCACACTTGCGATTCAGGAAGAGGTCCTTCAAAAAATCGACTTTGTTGGAGTAAAAATGAGAACTCATTGATTTATCCAAGCGCTGGTTCCTCATCGTGGGGAAAGTCCAGTCAATCAGTGGGAAAGGACAAAAAGTAGTGGAGTTAATATACAAAACCAACTATGCTGTGGGGCTGACAATGCTCAAATGTTGTCGTGGGTAAGGTACACGAGCAGTGGATACGCCAACACAGTTCTCCGAGAAGGGAGTAAGGCTCCACAGAGGCATCATAACTCTGGAGAAACCAGGACGCAAGATGGGTCGGCTGGTAAATGCTATTGAAGCTCACGCAGGCAACGACAAAAGTTGGAGAAAACGCGAGGGAAAGTCATTGACGTGGAGCGTACTGAAGTTAAGAATAAGATGGAGAATATCTCAAATATATAAGACCGGCAGAAATATCAAATTTGGCGACAGAGCAAAGTCAAGCGAGGCAGATGAGGAAAAGAAAGCTGACAGCTTGACCGAGCAGAGCTAAAGCGTTTTTTCTTTGTGAAATTGACAAATAACTCTGTCTAGTCTTCACCTTATTACATATAATAGTTTGATATTGACTCCACTAAAAATCGTGAGCTGTTCAGGTGATTACTTAAATTTCTCTTCAAGGCATCACCACGTTCAAAATTGGCTTTGACCAACAAGGGAAGTATACTTGGTCGCAGTAGCCACTTAACATGAGATATATACCCCGGTAGGTGGTTTCGAACCTCATCTCAAATCTGTGTTCCAAATCTGCTAACCGATCTGGGAACAACGTTACGGGACCGATGCCTCCCTGTGTTATACCACAGTAACGAACGGATCATCGATCTGAACAAAGCTGGAACTGTACAACGGTAGCGCAGGTAGTCGGACCATGGGCTGGTAAGCATGACATCAAGGTACAATTCCTCGATGCATGCAATCGATTTGCTTTTCCATGAAATGCGTCCGCTTGCAAAACTTTTTTCGCTTAATATTGTGCATCTACGGAGCTCCCCCACATTTTAGGATTCCGGGGAATAGTAATTCGATAAAAAAATCTACCACTACCAAAAGAAATGCATATACGCCTTTATACCCGGAACAGTCAAGATGGTGTTTCGAAATCTTTGGAGCTCCCTGCACTTACGGTAGTCAGTGGTCGAATGACTCATCCGACCACAGCCCTCTCTGGAAAGGTTTCGGTCTACACATTCTAGGGAAACTGTCCGCGCGTTTTCGAAGCGGTGGAACAAGTTAGCTGGCATTGTTGAAGAAATATGTAGAACAAATTTTATCGCTTTGTGTGCATATATGTTTATCCACCAAGTCTATTCTTGAGGTAAACGCCCTTTCATGAGGTAAATGTGGTGGTGCGGTGGGGCATGATAGCCTTCATTGTTGATCTGCAGCGGTATCCAGTGGAAATGGCTGTTGTGTAAAGGGACTCCTATATAAATTTTAGGATAACTTATACTTGAACTTATCCGCTAATCTACATGGGTAGGCAGATCGGTCCGCTTGTTTTGCACATGATAGTGGCGGCCACATGATCTTCTCCCAGCGCCATAAAATCGGAGCTTATGGGCCAGATCGCAAACCTGAAGGCTACGTTTTACTTCGGAACGTCTAAATCCCTCCAAAGGTACGGGGTTATTCTCGCAAAGTTACGGGCCCATCGTCGCTGTCATTATCAGGCGACCGCGATTGATCATTTGGAACATTTCTCCCTGAAGCTTCTTGAGCCCATTATATAAACTATACCGATATTATAGCCGTTATGTCTAGTATAGTCGTTTAAGTTCTTCGTCACTATAGTCTTGCCACAACTACAGCTAGACGATCGAATACCAGAGCTTTATTGCGTCAAGGAGAGAAAACCTCAAACTTGGGTAATTAAACCATAAGAACGTAACAGATACATACGAAAAGGCAAGAGTTATCATAGATACGAAAGGCACAACCCATAGAGGA